TCCCGAGGACCAGCGAGGGCCCGAATGAGTCCGAAACCAGCGAAAAGTGTGAGTGATACTGATTTTTTCAATGCGCTGGAGGCCTGGACTTCCCCTGATATCCGATCGTAACAAAGAACTCCACCGCAGCCCTGATCCCATCTCTTTGCGGCATTTTTTTGAGCTGGATTGATGCGTGAGGGTCACGGGGCCTGAAACAAGGCTCGGCACGCCCGTGATGGGTACGGAACATATGGGTACGATGCCAAACAGCAAATGTTGTCCCAAACCTACAGCGGCTGCTATTGGACAGGCGATCTGCTGTATCTCAAGCGGACAATGCCCGCGGCGACACAGACAACGATTCTTGCTCAACATGGCCAGGAACTGCTGTTGGTCTTCGTCCCCACTCTCACCGTACCCACTTCGGACGTACTGAGAAGAAACATCGCCCGTTGTGGACAGCACCTGCGACGCCAGGATCTCAGGGTCCCCGTCGGGGAAGACTTATTGCCCCCGCTCGCGTACCTTGTGCCGGATCAGCTTGTTCGCCGGGCTGGTGCACAAAAAGCGCGTCCCTGGGGGATGCCAGTTTCGTACGCAGCCCCCTCTCCGCGGTCTTGTGCCGGACCAGCATGTCTGTGGGGGGTGGTGCGCAAGAGTCGTACGTACTCCCACCCCGGCGCCGCCCTCCGGCCAGCGAGGTCGATGCCCGACAGCCCCACGCCGTGCTTCGGGGGCAGGCGCGGCCCAGACGCGCCAGTGGCGTCGACGCCGCCGTGCTTCGGGTGCGGGCGGGCCGCGGCGCTGACGCCGCCGCCGAAGGCCGCGGCGCCGCAGCCCCTCGAGGCGTGGCGCGCGGGGGCGAGGACGGGGCCGCCCTGCTGCTGCTGCTGTTCCTTGACTCCTGCTCCAGCTCCTGCTGCTGTTCCTCCTCCTCCTCCTCCTCCTCCTCCTCCTCCTCCTCCTCCTCCTACTACTACTGTCCTTGTCCTGCTGCTCCTCTTCCCCTTCTCTTCCTCCTCCTCCTCCTCCTCATCCTTCTCCTTCTTGTTCTGTTACTCCTGCTCCTCCTTCTCCTCCTCCTTCTCCTTCTCCTCCTCCTCCTCCTCCCGTTCTTCTCCTTCTGCTCCTCCTCCCATCCATCTCCTCCTCGTCGTCATCGTCCTCCTCCTCCTCCTATCCTCCTATTTCTGCTGCTGCTGCTGCTGCTCCTCCTCCTCCTCCTCCTCCTCCTCCTCCCACCGTCCTTCTCGTGCTGCTCCTCCTGCTCTCCTCTTCCTCTTCATGTTCCTCCTCTTTCTCCTCCTTGTTTTGTTTCTCCTGCTCCTCCTGCTTCTCCTCCTCCTCCTCATCCTCCTCCTTTCCTTCTCCTCCTCCTCCTCCTCGTCTTCCTCCTCCTCCTCCTGCCGCTCCTCCTCCCACCCTCCTCCTCCTCGTCGTCGTTGTCGTCGTCGTCCTCCTCCTCCTTCTCCTTTCCTCCGAATCCTAGTGCTCCTCTTTCTCCTAGTCTTCCTCCTCCTCCTTCCCCTCCTATTCCTCCTCCTCCTCGTCCTCCTCGTTCTCCTCGTCCTCCTCGTCCTCCTATCCTTCTGCGCCTCGTGCTCAACTCCGCTCGTGCCCGTGCTGCTTCAGTCCTGTGCCTGTGGTATTGTCAGACGCGGGCGCAGCTGCAGCTGGTGGGGAGGCCCAGCTCTCTGATTATATGATCTCCGTGCGGTGCCACCCGACACGCGCCGAACCCCTCCGTTGCCACGGAAGTGGAGCCTTGTCGTGTGGCCGAAGGCTCCGACCATCAGGAAATTGCTCCTTGGAGGGCTCGCCCGCCTCCTTGTGGTGTACGTGGACTGCATCGCGTGGATATAACCAGTCCTTCTACTCTTTGCGACCACTTGCGAATCCTACCCCTTCGTATCCAATCAACGCCAGGGTATCGAACACCCTGCTGGGGTTCGACTTGCTGCAGACATCCATCGGAATCTGACACCAGGGGTAGGATTGACACGTGGTGGCATAGTCCTCCTTCTGCTGATGCTCCTGCTCATTGGTTGTGGTTGTTGTCGCTGTTGTTGTTAGTCTGTTTGTTGTCGTTGGTGCTGTTGGTATTGGTTTTATGTATGTATGTATGTATGTATGTATGTATGTATGTATGTATGTGTATGTATATGTATATGTATATGTATATGTAGTTGTATGTGTATATGTATATGCATATGTACATGTATATGTATATGTATATGTATATGTATATGTATATGTATATGTATATGTATGTGTATATGTATGTGTATATGTAGGTGTATGTATGTGTATATGTATATGTATGTGTACATGTATATGTATATGTATATATATATATATATGCATGTGTGTATGTATGTATATGTGTATGTATGTATGCATGTATGTATATATGTGTGTATGTCTGTCTGTCTGTTGGTTGTTGTTGTTATTGTTGTTGTTGTGATTGTTGTTGTTGGTGGTGGTGCTGTTGGTGTTGACATTGCTGTTGTTGTTGCAGTTGTTGTTGTGGTGGTTGTTGTCGTTGTTGTTATGGTTGGCGTGGTCGTTGCTGCAAGTGATGTTGTTGCTGCAAGGGCATTTGTTAGTGCTGCTGTCGGTGTTGCCGTTGTTAAGGTTACCGTTGTTGGTGTTGCTGCTGCTGATGAACATAATGATGCTGATGTTGATGTTGTTGATGCTGATGATGTTGATGATGATGATGCTGATGCTTATGATGATGATGATGATGTTGATGATGATGATGATGATGCTGATGACGATGATGATGCTGCTGATGATGCTGCTGCTGATGATGATGATGATGATGATGATGCGGAGGAGGAGGAGGAGGAGAAAGAGGAAGAGGAGGAGAAAGAGGTGGAGGAGGCGGTGACAGAAGAGGACGAGGACTAGGAGAAGGAGGATGATGAGGCGGAGGAGGAGGACGAGGAGGTGTAGGAAGAGGAGGAGAAGGGGGAGGAGGGAGGAGAGAGGAGGGATGAGGGTAGAGCAGGGAGAACGGAGAAAGGAGGAGGGAGAGGGAGGAGGGAGGAGAGAGAAGGGAGGACGGAGTAGGAGGAAGGAGGAGGAGGAGGGAGACGGGAGGTGGGATGATGGAGGAGGGAGGAGGGAGGAGGAAGAGGAGTAGGAGGAGGAGGAGGACAAGCTAGGTACGCGCGCGTCATATCTGACATCCTACCCCTCCCTCCCATCCCTTACCATGACGTAGATACCCTCTCTACTCGCACAGTCGGATGTCGAGCAGGGCAATGATCCCGAAAGGGTACGCGATGCATTGTAGAGCACGGCATGGCCTGGCGTAGAAGAGCATCGCAAAGCGTAGTATGTCACAGCATGGCGTGGCGTGGCGTAGTGAAGAATTGCATCACAAAGCTGTGCAACGCAAAGCATGGCATCGCACAGCGGCTCCGAACATAACATTGCATAGCATGGCGTTGAAGATCAAAGCGTAGCATGCCATAGCACGACGTGGCACTTAAGCACTGCATATCACAGCTTCAGCTGAAGGCATGGCATCGCGCAGCGGAACGCAACCTAGCATTGCATTGCATACCGTGGCATGGCGCGGGAAATGACGCCAGCGCTGCAGCGGGAGCACGATTCGGAACGAGCGGAAGCGCTGAAATGAGGCCAGCGCTGCAGCGGGAGCCTCGAGCACGATTCGGAACGAGCGGAAGCACGGAAATGAGGCCAGCGCTGCAGCGGGAGCACGATTCGGAACGAGCGGGGCCAGAAAATGAGGCCAGCGCCTCAGCGAGAGCAGCATTTTGAAACAAATGCAGGCGAAAACCCACTTCCAGGGAATCCTGTGTGTAAAAAAACAGTACGCGGGGGGGAGGGGGGGGGCGAACACTCACAACCCGTCATCAGGGGAAGGAGGAGAGTAGTATTCATATTGAGTAATTGTGGAGGAGGAGGAGGAGATGGAGTAGGAGGAGGAGGAGGAGGAGGAGGAGGAGGAGGAGGAGGAGGAGGAGGAGGAGGAGTGGAGAATGAGCACGCGGGAAGAAGCGGAGGAGGTGCAGGAGATGGAAGCAGATCCATTTCTGCCTCAGGGTCTTGCCCGCCGCCGCCATCCCCCTTGTTCTTCGGTTGCGCTGGGCTGAGAATAGCGTGGCTCCGGGCGCTGCGAAGACGGCCTGGCGGCCGCCATGGCACATGGCAGTCTCCGCCCGGCGCCGCCGGCATGGGGCGGGTGACCGCGAGAGCGCTTCGGCGGCGGACGGCGACGACTGCAAGAGCCGAAGAGCAGGACGAGTTGCACAGATGTAGCCCTTCGGGGGTCCGCGCGGAGCCCTCGGGCAGGCGCCCACTCCCCGAGGCAGGCGCCCCCAGCGGCGCCCCATGCTGCGCTCCGCTCTCCCAGGGGGGGGGGGGGCGGGGTCCAGGGCCCGGCCCGGGAAGAGAGCCTCGCGGACCTCCCGACTGCTCACGCCATTGTGTCTGTAGCGTATGCTTGGTCTTCGGAGGGCTATCTCGAACGCTGCAACGCCTCGCGGCCCCCACCTCCAAACCCAGGGGTAGGGGGCAGAGGAGGGGTAATCCCTTTCCCGGAGGGGGAAAAGGGGTTTGGAAGAGGAGGCGCTCCAAACCACTCACGCCCAAAAGGGCCAGTGGGAGTATGTCTGTCATGTGCTCCTGTTCTTCCGGAGAAGGGCCCGAGGGTCCCTCGCGGCGCGCCCGCAGCGGCGTGCCCCGTCCCGAGCCGCTGGGCAGCGCTGCTCGTATCGGTCTGCCTGGGGGGCCTCCTCGTGTCGGCGAGGGTGCGGCAGCGCGCGGCCCTGGGCGGCGGTGGCTGTCAGGGGCAGCGACAGGGGGTGGTGGAGGGGGGGCTGGCGCAGGGGGAGCTGGGAGGAGGAACTTGTACCGATACACCGCCACCCTTCCCTCGTCGCCACGACTGGCTTCGCCTCGAGATCCTCGTCAGAATTCAGAGGATGACGATTGGAAGCAACGGCTCTTGGCCTTCGGGGGATCCCCTCGTCGTCATGGCTCGACGCACTTCGGAGAACTGGTGCGTTTGGGACCAGGGAGGGATCGGAGGATCGATTTTGAGGTGCCGTAGTCTCAATTTGCCCTGTTCCGAAGAGTGCAGCGCGGGAGATGTCCGTGGAGCATCGTATCGGTACATTTTTGTTCCCCCGAAAGCATCGACCCCCAATCGCGCATTTCTCGACGACTGGTGGCTGGGTGCCCCAACCTGCTCAGGGACGGGGGTGGTCCCCTCGTGGGCCCATCGCCGATCCATCGGCGATGCATCGTCGGTTCCAGGTTCCAGGTCAGTGCTTCCCCCCAACAAATCTGCTCCCCTCAGGTTGGTGGGATCTGGCTGATGTCGATGCTGCGGATATCGACTAGACGTACGACTGACCTTCGCCGGAGTGACCTTTGGTTCGGTCCAACTGGGGTCCCTGGATCGCTGAGGGCGATGCGATAGTAGCGGCTTGCGCGTTTGGGCTTACCCCCCCTGCCGTCCCCCTAGCGCCGCACACCAGAGGTCACTCTTGCCTAGGGCCACTCTTGCGTGTAGCCGAGGGTAGCTCGACGGATCTGGGATGTCTGGGAACGGTGCTGATGTCTCACCGCGCCGCGATGCCGCCGAGTCTCGGGGGCGACATCTCACAGCGGCCGCCAGGCAGTATTCAGTCCGTGGCGGCAATCATGCAGCGTGGCATTTGCGCCTTCGACGTGGATGTCTTCCGCACTGCGGACGACGTCCTGGTGGTCGGACACCCGTCAGAGGTGCGGGAGCGCTTGTCGCTCAGCACGCCGCCGACCGCGCTGACGCTCTCCGAGCTTCACACGCTCGACGGCGGCAGCACGGCCACGGTGCTCGAGCTCCTACAGGCCATCCGACAGCTCGCGCCGGCCGCAGGGCCTTGCAGCAGGACGCCCGAGCTGACGGGTGATAAGGGCAACGGGGCGTCCTCCGGCGACGCAAGCTCTGCCGAGGGCGAGGTGGCGCTCGCAGCAGCAGCGGCGGCCGGGCAGGAGACCGCGAAGACGAAGAGGGCGAGCAGCGCGAAGAAGACGCCGCTGCGGCTGCTGCTGGAGCCGAAGGGCGACGCCGCCAGCGTCGAGACTGTGCGAGCGATCGCGGCGGCCGCGCGCGCTGCGGGGCTGAGCGCGGACGAGGTGGGCGTCTGGGTCTCGCGGCCCGAGCTCGCGGCCGCGGCGGCGGCGACGGGCGCCCTCGCGCCCGCGCTGGCCATCAAGGCGCGCGCGCTGCCGCAGGGCCTGCTGGCGCCCGCCGGGGACGTCTGGGCCGCCGTCGGCCCTGCCGCGGATTTCCCGGAGCTGCTCAGCTTCGCGGACTCCGTACGCGGGCGCGGCCAGATCGTGCTCGCATGGGGCGTCGATACGAGTCGGGTGTTGCTAGAAGTGCCCCTTGGCCCAAGGTGCCCCAAGAACTTCCAAGCTGGCCCCCGCGGCCTCTTACGAGGCCCAGGGGGCCCCAGAGGCGCCAAAATGCGGCAAAAAGCTGGGGACACCTTGGGCTAGGGGCACCCTGAGCAACCCCCGAATGAGGGAGGACCTCGTCGCCGCACTGAGCGCTTCCGCCGAGGGCATCATCAGCAACGAGCCCTTTCGCATGGCCGAGCTCCTGGCCTCCGCCTGCCCTGGCTGGGCAGCCTGAGGCAAGACTGGGCAGCGTGTGGCGGGCCAATTTTCCACCACCACTACCAGAGGTAGGACGGGGGAGAAAGGAGGATGGGGAGGTCCTCCTCCTCCCCCTCCTTCTCCTCCTTCTCCTCCTTTTCCTCCTCCTAATCCTCCTCCTCCTCTTTCTCGTCTTTTTCCTCCTCCTCCTCCTCCTCCTCCTCCTCCTCCTCATCCTCTTTCTCATCCTTTTCCTTCTCCTCCTCCTCCTCCTCCTCCTCCTCCTCCTCATGGGCACCAGCCCAGCGAAGGATCCCATTACAGAGCACTGTTGAAGATGATGGTCAGCCTGTGTTTGATCACCAGCGTAGCGGGGAGCTTCTCGGTCAGCACTTGGGGCCAACTTCACGCGGCTGCTCGTAGCTGCCCTGACGCACTGGACGAGCTACGGCCCTACATCCAGGCATGTCCTCTCACCTCTGCTTGTCCTTGTAGTTTGACGAGTTCCTGGAGGTGCTTGCTAAAGCGACCCTCGACTCTGCCCCAGGACCTGATGGAACCCCCTTCTCTGGCGGCGGACCTCTGAGCCCCGGGGCATCAGGGCACCCTGCGACGAGCGCCATGGGATCACGGAGTGTGGGCGGTGTCCCGCTCGGGCGCAGCCGAGCTTGCGCAGTCTTCCCTGCCAAGGGCGGCAGGGCGAGGGACCTCGGGGCCATGACCTGGTACTCCCTGCCAGGCACGGCCCCTCACCCTCTCTGACACCGTGCGGCAACTTGCAAAGGGTGGCCATCGATAGGCCGCTTGTTGCGGTCTGCGAGGAGACTTGCGCTAGCAATCAGCGTGGTTTCATCTGCGAGCAGACTTGCGTCAGCAATCTAAGCGGTTTCGTTGAGAACCGTTCACTGCGCAACAGCATTCATGATGCCAAGGCTGAGGCCGTCCATCACATCTGCCACTGCAAGCGCACAGGGATTCTCCTCTACGACCTTATACGGCTTTCCCCAGCCTCGTCCACGACGCGATCTTCTGGGGCTCTCGGAGATGCAGGTGCCCTCATTCGTAATTGTTGCCCTCAGGGCTCTTTACAACGTGGTATGGCTTGAGATCCGCTTCTACGGGTGCGAAGGCGTCTGGTTCCTTCGTGATCGAGAGATGTTAATCAAGGATGCCCCGGCTCTGGTAGCCTCTTTGCCCTTCCTTTCGATCCGATTTTCCGGCTTCATCTCGCGCAGTTACCTCCGCTGCTTCGCCGACGATGTGGGCAATGTCGGCCTGAATTAGCGCTTGAACGCATGCCGCGTACCCTCCTCCCCTTCTCGGCTTGCCCCCCCTTTCCCTGCCTGCTCCATGTCGTTCCTCTGGAACTCTGGGTGCAATGCATGCTGCACGAGTGCTCGGTTTCGCATGCCCACGAAAGCGTGCATCGCATGCGGCGCTTACAACGGTGACGCGATGCTTCACATGCTCGATTGCCCTATGTTCGATGGCCGTGGGTTTGCCCTTCTCCTGCTAACCTCATCCTCCTCCGGGGCTGATGGGGCTTCTCGTTTCTGCCTCTGGGAACTAGCCAGTTGTCCGAACGAAGCCTTGACTTCCAGTGCCGCGTACATTAATATTGTCTTTAGCACTCACCGCAAGGTACGTGCGGTAAATCCCACTCGCAGCCAGATCCTCGCCACTGCCATCGCCAACGGACAACAGCTTCTTAGACGAGATGACCAGCTCAGTACCATAATAGGGCATCGGCCCACACGCACACATAGATGCGGGCAGATTGGTGTCATCCCAAAGCGATCGCCCCGCTCGTGCTGGAGGAGGCCATAGTGCATCCGACATAGCGTGGCCTGGCTGACCGACTAAAGCAGCACAAGCGACACGCCGGCGTCCACCCAGGATGGGCTGGCAAGCCCAGACATGGATTTCCGATCTCTTGTGCTACAGTGGAGGCCAGTCCACAAGAAGCCTCCCACAAGAAACCCAACCCTGAGACCCCAGGACGTCCATTGGTTTTTGGTGTGGGAACGTGACGCTTTCCATAGCAGAACCATCGAAACCCAAGAAACCCAGGGCACCTTGGAGCGGGCCCCCACTGTATGTGTTTGTAACCGTGTAGCATGTGATGGGGTGGTGGTGGGTGGAACGTCATTCCCTGTCCTGGCTTGTGTCTGCTGGCCCGCCCTTGTCCCTCCCTCCTCGGGCGGGTCTCCTCCTCCTCCTCCTCCTCCTCCTTTTCCGTCTCCTCCTCCTTCCCCTCCTACCTAGGGTAGTGGCGGTGGAAAGTCGGCCCATCAGCGTGGTGTTGCGGGTGAAGTTGCAGGGCCGCTCCAGTGGTCCCCGCGCTGGGCCAGACTGTCCACGCCACACTGTGACCGGCGAGCACGGCGCGCGGGAGGCGGTCGACAGCAGCGGTACTCTGTGGGAACGCGGGCTTCCAGGGAGATTGGCAGCGAGCAGCGCGTCGTACGCAGGCGCACCGACGGGGTCCTCCTTGGCAAACAATCAGCCGCCCGTCAGTTCCACATGTCTCCGCACGGGGCACGCTCTCTCACGACAAGGCGGACGCGTCGGCGGTGGTGGCCTGCTCACGGAGATTCACGTTCGAATGTGCATAGGACTGGCTGATCGAGCAGGCGTAGCGGGATGGCCATCGCTCGGGGCCGTTCAATGCCGAGGGCCACGCGGCAAGACACAGGATTTGAGCGGTAAAAGGATGAACAACTATCGATGACTTGTGTTCTGCCTCTCCTCCACCTCTTAGGGGTGTACCCTCGGGGGGTAAAGGTTAGCGGTCTCCCTTCGAGGAGTGACGCACCGCACGCAGCGGCGATTGGCATCGGCTCGGGGCAGAGGGGGCACGAACTTTGATTTCTGGATCGTATGACATTCTGCAGCAGATCACATCCGCCGCTTCCGAAGTGGAAGATCTGTTGCCCTGCGGTAGCCAGCGCGCTGCATGTGCGAGGCCTTGGGGATGCCCTCTGGCTGCGATCGCAGAACATCGACGAAGTGCGCCATGCAGAGGGGGCATGCAATCATGTTTCTAAGTGTCCAGATTCACAGGGCAAACGCAATCACCCCCGCAGATAGGCAATCGGCCAGCTCGTCACCGCTTGTTTTATCACAAACGCGGAGTGGTGCACCATATTGGGAGCCATGACCCTGTGGCCAACCTCACGCCGTTGAAGGAGGAATGCGTAATGGGCACAAGCAAGTGCAATGCGCTTTGGCTTAGAAGGGATTTTGCCCTCACTCCGTGAAGATTTGATGGCGCCCACTCGTGGCGGCAGCCGCCTTTAGACTGCTGCTCCAGCGTGCCAGGGATGGCGGGCGTGGGGGCCAGGAAGAGCATCCGTAGTTGGGATTCATCCACATCCACCGCTTGGGAAGCCTATCCATGTGTATCCACCGCCTCCGGGAGGCCTTGGGTCCGTATAGTCGTATCTATAAATTTGCACTTCTCCCGGGGGCCCAAACATATCCACATCCCCCCGCCAGGTTCGGATGCAATTGCTGGAGGGTTGCATTCAGTATCGGCGCTGGCATAGCTGCGGTCGAACGCCAGTCCCATTCTGCAGCCGTAGCCATTTTGGCTTAAGCAATTTTGGCTCAAGTTGCCATTTGTCAGGGCAGCTGGCCAGGACAGCTTCTTGCCATCAGGGGGCAGCCCAGCCAGGCTCCCTGGTGGCCTTTCGGCCTACGGACCTGAGGGAGCAGATTTCACGACGATCCGATTTATCCTGCTACTTGCGGCATGTCCTGGCGCGCCCGTGCCCCGTAGCGTGATCGTGACAGCAGGAGCGGTGCTTGGGGCTGGGTGTGGACGCCTGACTCTTCCTACCGTGTGTGTGTGTGGTTCATGCGGACACTGGGAGTACGCCGACCACGGTCACCGCCATAGCAGCCTGTGCGGTGGCAACTACGTTCCTCTCGATGGTGGTTGCGCTGCTGCTGATGTACCTGATGAATCCCATGGGGTTCCCCCTGGAGCTGCGGCGGTGCCAATGCCACCGCACCCCAGTACGTAGCTTGAGGACTGGTCGGCCCACTACCCTGCCCTCGCGGGGGTGGCGAAGCAGGCCGCGGCCCCTCTTCTCTTTGAGGTACACGATTATACGGATGCTGAGCTTGACCGCTTGGCTTCGGCTGAGCAGACATCCTTGGCGAAAAAGGTCGAATTGGCTACAAAGTGTGAGCGCCTCGCGATGCAGGAGGTTCAGTGGCGGCTCGAGCGCTACAATAAGGCAACTGCTACGATGGAGGAGATGCAGCAACACCATTCGGAGGCCGTCCAGGCCCTGGAGAGTGCTCGTGCTGCCACGCGTGACGCCGACACTGAGAAGACGCTGTTCGACGTCAACCAGTTCAAGCTCGCCAAGTGCGCCGAGGTCAACGACCAACGGCGCCGTCGTGCGGAGCAGGAGGCGCTCCTCGCCCGCTCAGCGGCCCAGCCTGCCCTTGCGGGCGCCCCAGCGGCCCAGCCGCCTGCGGGCGCCCCTCAGGCGCCGCTCGGACCTGGCGCGCAGCCTGGCACGGTCCTGGCAGTGCTGATGATGATCCATGGCGTCGTGGCAGGGTGGTGGACTTCGTCTACGCGGAAGCCCACCTCCGCGAGATCTCCGATGATACTCTTGGTGAGCTCACGGAGTTCACCGCCATTTCTCTCGATCCATGGAAGGACTACCGCCGCCATCTGCAGAGGATGCGCGGCCTTCTCGAACCAGGTCCCGACGATGCGGCTTCTGATGTTGCCAGTGAGGCAGGAGATGATACCATGGAGCTTGCTGATCGGGACCAACTTCGTGACCTCAATCGACGTGCTGCTGAATGTGGACTGGATGCCCGGCAAGCACGGCAGTACCATGACCTACTACAGAAACATATTCACGGACGAGCTACGAAACGTGCGAAGACGGGGCATAACGTCACCTGCGACATGTACCCCGTCTTCTGCCAGCATGCTGCAGATCAGCTCGGACGCTTCCGTGGCGGCCCAGCTGCTACTCCAGGTTGTGCTGGACGGCAGCCAGTTGCGGGCGGCGGCGAGCCTGCGCAGCAGGCGTCAGCTGAGCAGCAGCCTGGCATGGGCAGTGGTCAGTCCCAGTCCCGTTCCTAGCACGCAAAGCCACGTGCAGTGGCTGCCGGTGTACTTTTTTAAAGTGCATCAATATGACTCAATGGTCTAAGTTTGCCCAGGACATCCTTGCAGCTAAGGCTGCTGAGTTTGATGGGGCCTTCATGGCCGAGCGCCACATGCGCGTCCCGAAGGCCTTCCTTCTGAATCAGCCTTGCAGGTTCATGAAATGGGCTCCGCATGTTCAGGATGCCTTGGCTTCGCCAGGGGGGGTACTCATGGAGGAGTTGCTGCTGCCGTCCAGCCTGGCTTGTGCATCCGCAAGTTTTTGATTCAGGCCCCTAAAACGTTGCAGGTTGGTTCTGGGGAATGTTGTTTTTTCCTTGAGCTGCGAATGAAATCGTGCATTGTTGCCGTGGGCGTGATTTACCTGGCCCCGTCCATGTGGGTCTCGGGTGCCAATTGAGGTCGTCTCCGCGGGGTTGCTGGGTTTGCACGAGGGCTCTACATTCCGTGGTTTCTGATGGGGGACATCAAGATGACCGAAGATGTCTTGGGGGATTTTGGTATCCTGGAGCTAATGTCTGCTAGGGCGTGCCTGCCTGGTTATGCGCAGTTCACTTGTGCGGTGGGTGGAACTATGATTGATTGCGTTGTGTGCTCGCACGTCCTTCACTCATACCTGGCGGTAAATGCCGCCCTGGCGCCCCCCTTCAAGACCCATGCGCGTCTCGATGTGGCCCTCGATATGGAAGCTTTGGTGGGGCCCGTCTGTCAGAGAAGCAGGCCCCGTGAGATCCCTGAGGCCTTCGGTCCTGATCATCAGTGGCTTACTTACATGGCTCAGGCTTGGTCGAGTCTCCTGCGGGGTCTCCTGTGTGATGCCTGAAGATATGTATTCTGCACTTCCCTAGCGCGTTGTGGACCACGTGTCTGGAGCATTAAGTAAGCAGTACCTTACATGGTCAAGTACCCTAGAGTTGCAAGTTTTATCTCGTGCGTGTGCTGTCGTGGAGGACACCAAGTTTTACCGTGGCCGAGGCTCGATGTTGGCGCGGAAAGACAAGTCCCTGATGGCTCGTGGTGCGCAGGCGCAGAGTCTTCGGAATATTGATCTGTCTTACTGGTCGTTGGTATCGGCCCGTCTTTTCCATCTTTGGAAGCTTTCTCGCATGTGGTTTTTTGTCCTAATGCTGCTCGGCAGCGTCGCGGCGTTCTCCCAAGGTCTTGCTGCCGAGGTTTTCTCTCGCGTTGCACCGCTGGCGTCTACCACTGCGGCGACTGTTTGGCATGGGGGGCTTGGCGACCCCCCGCGCAATCCTGATGCTCTACGACAAGTGGTGGGTGCCGCAGGTCCTGTCTGTTCGAAGGCTTGGACACAGGCCCATAGCATGGCGAAGAAGAGCATGCCCACGTGGCTGAAGGCTTACGTGGCTGAATGCTTCTTCACCTTCTAAGGGGAGCTCAACCTGCGCGCGGATATTTGACGGCTGGGGATAAGGTTTGGGTTGCATATACTGACACTAAGCCGGGCATTGTGAATGCCCGGGGGGTGGGGTGGGGCGGGGGTGGTGGTGGTGGTGGTGTGGGGGGGGGGGGGGCATCGCGAGGATAAGTGGGCGTCCTGGTTGGCCCCGAACCCCCATCCAGCTAGTTGTTTGGAGGCTGGTTTTAACAAGTTGGGCTGGCTGGCGGTGGTTTCCCTTGAAAGCCCCCCGCCACCCCCTCGAGCTTCGCGATGTAGCTCGTGCGTGTGCGTGTTTCTCTGCGACGACGGCCGTTGGCGCCGACCTTTGGAAGCCTCGCCTTTTTCTCTCGGCGCCAGTTGGTGCATTGGGAAATGTTGACTGGCATCCTGAATCTGGTGGGGGCTACTCTGTGTTTTCCACGGCAGTGCCATTCACGCATCATCGCACTGCTCCCCAAGTCTGCCCGCGATGAACGAGCAGCGGTGCAGTGCCCGACCATGTACCGCGCACGCTGTAAGGCACGAGGCTTCGACATTGACTACTGGAGTAAGAAACATCTTTTTTTTGAAGGGGATTTTGCGAATAGAGGGTCGTCGGCCTTGAAAGCTGCGCTATTCCGCGCGTTAACTTCTGAAGTGGCTCACTCTGCTGGGTTCTCGTCAGCTCCATGCCTTCGGACCTCGAGAAGCGCGTTGACTCTGTGAGCCCGATCAGGCTTATCCACTTGACTTCCAATCAGGGGTGCCCTGGGCACCTCCTGCATTTGGGGCCCCATCGCTCACGCTGCCTCTGGGCTCCTGTAGGTGTGTGGGAAACGGTTGCGGGCCATTGTGGCTGGGGGGTCTATTCTTGTTGGTGTAGCCAGAATATGCCCTGGGCCAAGTGCTACTTGCACGGTGTCCTTGCGAAGGCTCATAATCGGATCCCCAGAGGCCCTGAAGATAACCCATATGTTAGCGTGCCTGCCAGGTCACATGCTGATGATATTACACAGCTTCCGGATGGAGCCAACGCGTTTTTCTGCAGGGATCTGCCGTCAGCCGCTGCTGATGTTCGTGCTGATATCTCTGGCTTGGGCTGCGTGTCAGCAACAATTCGCGCGCACTTGCCTCGTCCGCCGAGCTGGAGGGGGAGCTTATTGACGAATTTCGCTGGTTTGGTGTTGGAGTCAAG